AAGAGACGCGTCCTGCCGGCCGGGGTGAGCGGGGGCAATCTGCCCTCTGAGGCTGGCTGCGGCCTTCTAGAGCACAAGCCGCTCCCCGGGCCACCAGGAAAAGACCAGAGCGAAGACCCCTTCCCAAACCCTGCCGCCGCCCAGTTCGGACCCAGACCAGGCCGCCTGCCTCCGCCTTTCTCCCAGTCCGGTCCCAAGCAAACAAAAAAGGCAGACTCTCTGGGGGTCAGACCCCAGGAGTGCGTAGTGGCCCTGACCGTCCATCACTGGGGAGCAAATCGCAAAGCCCCATTAAGTGTCATATGTTGTGAGGGAAAATGTCACGTTATCGAAAGAGAGGGAGACAGTTTTGTTTTCTGAAAAGTTCGGTACATCCAGATAGGTTTTGCTGAGTTTCGCATAATGCTAAATTCCACTGAAGGTATTTAATTGTTTCGGATTTTCCCTTTGAAAATACTCTGGCGCTGAAATTAAACAGATTTTTAAAATAGAATCCATGTGAGTAATAAGTCGTGATGTTAGTTAATTAAGGGGTTAATCGAATTGCTTAATTAAGGAAAAGATATTTGATGATTTTATGTTTGTGATTTTTTTTAACCCACAGACTGAAAAGAGAAGAATACCTATAATGGAATATAATTCGAAAGGCCCCACCTTAGTTTTAAAAATGTTAAATTATGGGGAATGCTAGTTTCCCCAAAAAGTTTAAAACCTTAAAATGAGTTTATGGAAAATGTATAATTATGTTATCATCTAAAAGTAACTGATGTTATGCCTTTGCCTTTTGGAGGGCTGATTAATACTGCTGATGAAATTAGAAGTGGGAAAAAGATTCCGAGACAGCTTTGGCCAATTTTATTTTCTAATCATGAATCCCATCTGGATTGTGAAATAATAGGGTGGGGGGCCCAGCCGCCATCCCCAGCTAACAGCAGGGCATTTGATCTTGCACATGTAACCCTCCTCTCATTCAACAGATAACGGGGAGAGTCACCTTGTGAATCCTTAGAAAAGAACAACACCCATCGATGCAAAGGGCTGGGGGCGTTAACAAAACCTCTGCCCCAGCGAATTCAATCAGGGCTCTGACTTTAGCCTAGAGAAGCTACTGAACGTTGCTGAGATGAGCGGATCCGTTTCTTACTATGTGTGACTGCTGGTCTTGCCAGGAGGGAAGAAATCTGCTTTCAGACGGGTACGATCAAAATAAATGGACACTTGAAAGGTACAAGTGTTCAAAACTAACTTCATAACCCAGGGCGGAGAATTAGGCTGCGCGCACGCGGGCACAGGCCAGCCACCTCGGAGCATGGGCCCGCGTGCGCTGCGTCCTGGATCTGCGCCGCTTTTGCGTTGAGTTTTTCAGAATCTGCGCCCCCGCAGGGAGGGGGACGTCGGTAGAGCTGCTACAGTCTTCCTCTAGGAAGAAGAAAGCGCCACCACACTGCGCCCCCGCGGCCCGCCTCTGCTCACTGCGATTCCGAGTAGGGGCAGCGTGGAGCTGAGTTGGCCGAAACAGGATTGACTTGGGCTCTTCCAGGGGGGCTTCACAGGAGTCGGAGACCCCCAGGACCCCAGGCAGGGCCCTGAAGCTTCCTGGGCTCGGGATGACTCCTCCTTTCCCTGCGGAGTCCTGGAAAAATCTGAGAGCCTCATCGCTTGTCCTTGCAGACCCCAGTGTGAGTTTTTCCTCTGACATGGCAGAGCCAGAGGCCGCAGACCCTCCCAGTTCTATGGTCCCGGAGTGCCGGGCTGCCGTCGTGGCGCGCGCTGGGAGCACAGTGACCCCCCAGTTCCAACCAAAGTCAAGTTTCTGGGAAGTTTCTAGAAAGCGCGAAGACTGGAAATAAACTCTAACCCGGAGAATTTCGGCCCAGGAGTCGACTTCTTGGGGTGTAATGGGCAAGAACAGGCAGCCCCTGGACTCAGGAGAGAAGACCGTCAGGTCCACAGCCTGGCACCCCCATGGCGGGTAGCGCATTTGGAGACGCCAGAGGGGAGGTGTCAGAGTCTTGGCCCATCCCCACTCTGCAGCAGACCCCTCTCCTCCCTT